CACGTAATTTTAACTTCAAACAAGGAGGTTCTATGTCTTAGGCTTGCTTAATCTCTTCTGCCGTTCTTTGATTTAAGAAGAACTAAAAATGAATTCGCCGGTACCGCGGATTTGCTGACGAGTCCGGGTCATGAGTCTCGCTTTTCTCCCGGGGTACAGAGCAGATTTCCGGACTGTACAAAGCGGCGTTTTCTATTTCTGTGGCATATTTAGCAGGAAGCACACTGCTTAGCATGTGGGCCTGTGGCAATTAACACTGCATCCCACGCGTCGCGCAATTTTGACATTTTGGTTGCCAGCCAAGAAGGAGGAATGTCTCCCTTTTAGCATAGCGCCTAATTTATATACTAAGAGCTAAAAAGGCATGCTGCTTATCAGGCAGTCATTATGGGAGCTGACAGACCTGAGGCTGGTCAGGGCTTCCATCTCCCTTCCCCACTGGTGGATGCGCTTTTTTACGCTGTATTTATGGTGCTGCCGCATGGCCCAGTTTTTGGTTTACTGCCTCTTTAACTCCACTGCAAGTTCAGCCAGATCTGGGTGCCCTGTATTTAAGCCGTCTGTGAGAGTACAAGGCAAGGCTCACGCCATGATTGGTGTGGAGGCGGGTTATTGCCAGCTCACTGGATCGGAAATTCTGGCCGCTGGCTCATTGGTTAAGGGGGCCTGCCCATCAGTTGGTTAAGTGGAAAGTGATGAGAACCCTCCCAGAATATGCATCTTCTTAGAGCAGGGGTGGGCAATCTTATCCAGAAAGGTCATTGTGTCTCAGGGTTTTCACTAAAGCTCCCTAATTAGATTACTAATTGGAGGACTGACTGGCGGAAGAGTCCTCACCCCTGGGTTTGAACAGCTGACCTAAAGGTTACCCCAAAACCTGCGTACACACTGGCCCTTTGCGGATAAGATTGCCCACCCTTGTCTTAGAGTAATTGTGTGACGTGTTACTCCACATTGTTTAACAAGGGGAAGAAACTTACAGTGTAACAAAGGATATTTTACAGGCCCCAGAATAGCAATATTAAACACTGCTACCTGTAATAATATTTATAACACCAGAAGTAGCAATAATTTTTTTTAAAAGGCTATTGAGATGTTGAGATAATACTAAATTAGAAATTCAGAAACTCAGTTTGAGTAGAATTAAGCAGGATGCCTTGTGAAAATCGTCAGGGGATGAGATTAGGCATGTTACACTGTCCATCTGAATGAAACATGGAAAAATTATTACACAGACTAGTCCATTTAGCCTAAATTTTGTGATAGTCAACGTAATTAATTATTAGGAAAGTGAACTTTTAACCTCCTTCAGTTAATTAGTATGGCACATATGAGCATGAAATAAATTAATATGTTTGGAATCTATGAAGTCAATTAATTAAAATAAGGACTACGGCTGGAACTGACATATTTTCTGTAGCGCATGTGCTTGTTAATGTCCCCTGTGACTAACTACGCGCTCCTCTGCCTGCTCCCTCTGTGTTTCAGAACGTGCACCAGGAGGAGAGCGCAGGGGAGATGATCCACAGCGCACGCAGTGGAATCTGGGACTGAGGTCAGAGTTGGCTTCCAAGCGAACGTCGGGACAGTCTTTGGAACGCTTTCTCTCTGGCACCCCCTTCCCCCACCCTCCCTGGAACATCAGATAGCAGCGCGTTCTCCGAACAGGAAGGCGTAGGAAGGCCGGCGACGCAGAGCGGCGGCAGGATGCGGGAGACGCTGGGCCTGTGGGTGTTTTTGATTTTCCTGGGCGTGGCTCTTTGTAGCCACGCCTCCATGCCGCCGGGGCATGGTCACAGGAGGCGGCTTTCATTGCACAGACACCGGGAGAGGGGTAAAGAAGGACAGGTCCTTCACCGCTCCAAGAGGGGCTGGGTTTGGAATCAGTTCTTTGTCATCGAGGAATACACAGGACCTGATCCAGTGCTGGTGGGCCGGGTAAGCACCATTCCTGGGTTCCTTAAACATTGTGTTTTCTGAGGTAACTGCTGCACAAAGTCCCCTGGGGTCTTCATCACTTGTAGGGCCTTTGCAAAATCCCACATTTGCTCTATAGTGAAACCAGTGCCCCAGTTGATGAAAGGCCATGAAATGGATTTCCTTTTTAATAATGGAGCAGCCCCTAAAAATCCTGGCATTTGGGCAAGGAATGATTTATGGGTCCAAGAAGTAACGATTTCCAATGCCTGTCTAAATATGCCTTCTCCGTTCCTCCTGGACACAGCAGGTGCCCATCAGTTATTGGAAAGAACAATCTAGGGTCAAGGGTCCTCACAGTTTTATTGCATTTAACAGGTTCCCAGGCAGTTTTCGACATTAATCAATAAACAATAATAAGCAGAGCATTAAAAAATAATGGCACCTGCTGACATAGAGATTTTAGACCACCTCAGTCATTACATATTTCTGATGCTGTCTTACTGAAAAATAATCAGTGCTCCAGGAAACTTTAATCTCTAAATAAATATTGACTTAAATAATAGATATATATTGACTCTAAGTAGTTTCAGTTTTCTCTGAAAAATAATGAGCGTTTTGCAATTTCAGGGCAAAGCTTTCTTCCAAGCATTATCTCAGGTTTAACAGTCCAGTTTAGACATTGTTTTCTCAATCATGGCTATTTGTGTAAAGTGACTGATTACAATAATATGGCCCCCGTCCGGTGGCACTTGGCTTCATTATAATGTCCCCTCATCAGCTCCATTCGGACGTAGACTCAGGAGACGGCACCATCAAGTACATTCTCTCAGGTGATGGTGCCGGCACCATTTTCGTCATCGATGACAAGACTGGGAACATTCATGCCACCAAGACACTAGACCGGGAGGAGCAGGCCCAGTACACGCTGACAGCCCAAGCGGTGGCACGTGACACCAACAAGCCCTTGGAGCCACCTTCCGAGTTCATCGTCAAGGTGCAGGACATCAACGACAACCCGCCTGAATTCTTGCATGGCCCCTACTATGCCAGTGTACCCGAGATGTCCAATGTGGGTGAGTGCTTGTCATTTTCCATCTCCAACGTGTGGCCCTTGACCTCCGCATTACTCTCTCCATCTCTCTCTCTTCCCGTGCCACGCTAGAAGAAGCGTCGTCTTGTTTACTGCACCCCGGCCGCTTAAATCAAGCGATCGTTATGCTGTTAATATTGCTACTCGGTTACCAGGCGATGCTTTAGCCTGGTTTAGCCTGCCTTACGCAATACCTCGATGCCATGCACGGCTGTGGGTTGCACACTTCCAAACCCTAGCCATACATCATCGTTAATGCGTGGCTGTCGCAGAGTAACGATCTGTTACCCCACCATTCCCACCATGTGACAATGTAAATGATGCTGCGGGGAACCCGGGACAGGATACCAAGCCCGGCCAATTCCGAAATGTACTTACATCCTCTGGCCATGTTCACGTCATTGAAAATTGATTTGAGATTGTCGGACTTCGGGGATTAGTTTTTCCTCCCTCAGCCCTGTTGTTGATGGACAGGCAATAAACTTGATGTCGCATGCTAGAGGTAGCGGCTGCTAATATCTAACAGCTAATATCACCACCTCCTGTCCGGCCACGTCCGGGGACTAAAGGCAGAGGTTTAATGCCTCTGGTTTCTGACCAACCCTGTGAAATCCAGACAAAAAAATATGAGGCAGGGCGTTGGAAGAGTCCGATACTTTGGCTCCGATCAAATGTCAGCTGCTCCTCACAGCTTGTAATCCAGTGTCAGATGCAGTGGATTTGCTCATAATCAACAGCAAACATTAGTTTGATTCCGGTTCAGCCGTGCTCCGCGTAGCCTGACTGAGATCCAGTTGGAAGAACTTGCTGGCTGTTCTTAGCCACCCACCAGACTTGCATCACATCTGCCGGCCCTCCCCTCCCAGGCACGTCGGTGATGCAAGTGACTGCTACGGATGCCGACGACCCCACCTATGGGAATAGTGCCAGGCTGGTGTACAGTATCCTCCAGGGCCAGCCATACTTCTCAGTGGAACCCCAGACAGGTATGTCCAACAGAGAACTGGAAAAAAAAAATGGCCGCCAGACAGCCAATGGAAACATATGAGGTCACACTAGTGTTATTAAGCAGTTGAAATTCCATCCTGTTATTACAGGAAAATACTGCGTTTTGCATGCATTGCCGAATTAAGACACAGAGTGCGATACGCACAATTTAAACAAACTGCACATTAATGATACGATTTCAAATTTAGATTAGCTTTATCTAAATTTCTTAATTTTCTCTCAAATACAGTTTTATACTTCTTATTGTCATGCGGTGGTGGATTGCATTTTTTCTTTTTTTTTTTTTGCCTGGATTCTTTTCGAGTAAGGCGTAAGTGGCATGTGCCGAACGAATTAAACTTTGTACCAGAGGAGTCGAGTCTCGATGAAATCCTACGACCAAAACCTTGGGCTGGATTTTACGCTGGACAGCATCCAAGCTCCGCGGCTCTAATTTGTTTTGGCCGCGGTTACGTTTTGGCATAAAGCTCGGTTAAATATCGCCGTCCTTACACTATTCCCCATGCGGCCCGCAGACTGCCAACTAGCTTGGAGAGTTTAAAAAAAAAAAAGACCCTAGCTTAACGAAAGTGCCAGCGAGCACCAGGCTTATGATCATCCACCTGAAAGATACTTAAGCTGCATTCCTGGCAGCTTGACTTTCTTGGCTTCCATGTTTCTTGGTACCATGCTACTGTTCGACTCTTTTCCTCACTGAGAAGGGCGAGTTTCACTGCATGCTCTTTCCTGTTCTAGTACTGAGTCACACCACCTGGCATATATTAGTATAAGCCGCACCAGCTATCACATCCTGGGATTGTGCTGCACAGCCGACGATATCTAGAGCCCAGAATCGAGTCACATAGCCTTCGATAGCCTAAGAACAAGGTGTATAGCCTTGGATATTACAGAATCGAGGGGGATAGTGTAGGACATCCGAGCCTTTGAAAGGCACAGCCTAGGATGTTGCGTCACTGAGCCAAACGGTCTATGAAGTCCTAGCTGTAAGCTGCATGATCAGGAGAAACCTTTGGGGCTGGTTTATCCCCGCAAGCTGTTAATGTAAGACCACACGCTGGGCCGTGTTCACATCCCGCTGTGCTTTCGCAGGGATCATCAGGACGGCCCTCCCCAACATGGACAGAGAGGCACGTCAGGAATACGACGTGGTCATCCAGGCCAAGGACATGGGCGGCCACATGGGGGGGCTGTCAGGGACGACGGAAGTGAAGATCACCCTGACGGATGTCAATGACAACCCGCCCAAGTTCCCACAGAGTGAGTGCCCCCCCGCACCCACAACCCTAAACCTGTCTTTAGCCAGGTTCAACACCAATAGATTTCTAGGTAACACTTTATTTGAGGGGGCACAAATATTATAGTATTCTACAGCATTATGCTCTTACTTATCTATTCATTAACGACAAACTAAGTCTCAGTTACATACTGATCTCATGTTTGTTCATTATTAATGAATCATGACATCTTTTACCTCAAGCAGTTACTATATTTGCTACTATATTGGTTAATTTTGCAAACCTTTGTGAACTACTGAAGGTAGTACAAGTAATGAATAACAGAAGTGAAATACTGATCATATGTTTGCTCATTATTAATGAACCGTGACACATCTTGTATCTACTATATTTATTCATGATTGTACTTCAGTAGTTAACTGAGTTGCTACTAAGTATTTATGCCCTGTCAGGTACAGTAAATTGTTACCAATTCCTCTCTTCAACAAAGTTCATCACAAAAGAATAATTTTCTCAGCTTTGTTCACTGCAAAGTGCATATTTGAGTAAACCATTTAATGGAGATGCATGTCAGAAGCCAGACAGTCCTCTGAGATCGTGTAAAGCAGTTATGTTTGCCAGTGTGATGGACACATCTTTGAAAACAGCAGCTGAGAGGCAGAGTATATAAGCAAAGGAATGTTTGATCCTTTAGATATTTGTGTGTGTTTGGGGAGTACATGCAATCATGTATATCAGACAAAGCTGAGATTGTGCGTGGAGGACCTTCTGTGTATGTCTGAGCGAAAGCAAAGACAACTTATTTATGTCTCAAAGGGGATTCAGCTTCCAGTTAAAAGCAAGAAACCCACCATCCCTTGAGTAAGATTTGACCCTGATTTCAATTGCATAGTTAAAAACTAGACCACTTCTTTAGGCCAAAGTCTGCCCCGTTTTGTATTTTTTTTCATAGACTGGGATCAAACTAGAATAAGAGCTATATTTTCACTGCTACCATTCACACTCTGTCCAAAAAAATCTTCATGATTCATCAACATAATAAACCAGAGGAACACTTTATTCTGTTACTGGTTTTCACGTCTTACTTTTACAGTCATGTTGACGTAAACTTGCTTCTTGTGCTTGCTGTATTTTTAAATATGGCTGAAGCTTGAGCCTTGGGAAACACCGATAGTTTGACCAGATGAGGGCCAAAGTGAGACTCCCGTAAAACACCTAAGTTATGGGCACTCGACTCCATTGTCATTGGCTGTCCTTGGGGACTGAGCTTTCCCATAACACACGACCTCACAGCTCAGCTACGCTCACGTTTTCTTCACAGACATCCTGATTCATGTACATGGCTAAAGCTACAAATATTGCAATATATTAACATTAATCAGCTAGGAACATGGATACAACATCATGTAAATAATTACAATTAGAAATTCAAAATTAGCAAAGTACTGCATCCTAATTTGTGGGTGACTGAGAATATTATTATGCCAGTTTTTTAGCCTGTATTTGGACGAAGAGTTCTGAAATACTAGCAGATTTTGAAGAGGTGGTTGTGGTGAATGATGGTAGTAGCGATTCGGTGAGCGCTGACAGGGTGTTTCCTGAAGGGGCAGGGAGCACTTAACACCCAGAAGTTTCAGGGAGGAGCGGTTTGGCTGGAGTCTTAATCTCAGTGCTCTGCAGTTGTCAAAGTGAAGAAGAACTTAGCGAGTCACCAGAGGAATAAAATTCCCAGGAGTAATCGGAAGTGTGCTGCGAGCGAGAGTGGATGTGCTCAAAGTCTCAATCTGCTATTGATCTCGTCCCTCTGCACAGGTGTGTACAGCATGTCTGTCTTAGAGGACAAAGTCCCTGGCGAGGAGGTGGGCAGGTTGAAGGCGAAGGACCCCGATTTGGGGGAGAACGGCCTGGTGACATACCGTCTGATTGACGGCGACGGGATGAACGTCTTCGAGATCGTCACCGACTCCGTGACACGGGATTGCGTCATCAAGCTGAAAAAGGTGGGGCCTGCTGGTGATTTGGGGATGAAGAGAAGCTCATGTTAAAAAGGCAGGCAGATGGCCTATACTTGTATAAATTCTTCGAAATGCCATAGCTTTATCCAAGGCCAGAGATGAGCAGCTGCGATGGAAGCATTGTTACACATGGAAATATGTGAGCGTGTAGCTGTGCGTGTGTGTGCTCTGTGTGAGAGAGCGTGTGTGGGAGTAGCGGCATCACGGAGCAGAGCTGTGAAAGATTATTCATCCACAGGCTGGCTCTTCAGTCTGGGAAGAATGGGGGGGGCGACCACAAGGGTGGTTGTGTGTGTGTGTGTGTGTGCATGTCCAAGCATGCGTGTGTGTGGCTCCATGTAGGTATACGTGTGCTAATGCATGTAGCAGAGGGCAGACTCCGGGGGGGGGGGGAGTGAATTCACTCGGTTCCGCCCCGTGAACGCAATGACAGTACCGTGCTTCCTCATTATGTCCCGGACGAGCCTCGACTTTCATGGCTGGCTTGCTCGGTGAGAGAATTCTTTTTGACGGATTTCGGATTCCTGGCCGGACTCCAGAGAGTCAAGCGGCCCCCCTCCCCCCCTGGGGACCAGGATTACCCAGATGCTAAAACACCTGCCGAAGTTCGCCTAACACCTTGTGGCAGTACGACTACCCACGGGTAAATTGGAGCAGGGCTAGCTGGAGATTGGCTGCGATGGTGTACAGGCATCCAGGGTCACGGCCTGGGAGGTGTATGTGTGTAGACTTAGAGCCGTAATCCAACGATCCTACATATTTCCATTTGCCATCTCCATCCAGCATCTAATAACTACTAACTAACCAGCTTCTATCGATTACTTGGAGTGTCAGTGCATTTTTCTGTGTTTTCAAGCTTTAATACAGGCAGGGAGATGCTTTTTGTAAATACAGGCAATAACTATATAATATTAGTTCTTATGGGTTTTTGCGGGATACGCCTATCGAATAACTTCAGAGGTATCTTAGTCATAATCAACTGCAAAAACTGGGTGGTCGGAGTATCTGGCTGGGAGAGAATATATGTTTGGGGGGTGGCTAATTGTCAGTGGTGAGTCTGCCTCAGATTGTAAGGTACGTTGGCAGTAGGTGGTGGTGAAGAGAGGGAGACACAGATAACAGCACAAGCGTGGAACAATGACTTTGATGCCAGGCAGCCCCGCTCAATAACATAATACCTCCGTGATCCAGCTCTCGGGAAATCATCACCTTTTGCTCTTCAAAGCATGTTGAAAATTAAAGTCGAAGTTACTGACGGAATCGCTGGGGTTTTAATCAAGTATTCTGTTTCAACTGGAGGCAGCCGGCGCCCCTCGGAATATTAAGAGGCGGCCCCGGCATTATTGTGGATATTATCTGCTGTTGATTACTTTCAGTCAGTCGGTTATTAGGTGCCGCGATAAAGGATCGGAGGAGGGGGCCCGGCATTGTCGGGAGACGTGAGCCGCGACTGCTGACCTCCGAGAGTACGAGGCACCACGTATCCGTCTCCCGAACAGCCGGCTCCGCTGGTAAATGCGGCAGGAAAAAACACACGAGAGACAGGGTTTCGTAATTTCTCATTTGCGAGTGACAGGTGTGACAAGACAGACGGAGTCTCAAATTGGTAACCGGGGGGCAGGGTGACAGGTGAAATGGGAGTTTATTCAAGCAGAGTATCTGTTCTCTGCACTTGTTGTTTTTGAAGATATTTGCTACCATAAATTCCTCCACCTTTCCCGCAGTGTTAAAACGCCGTTAGTTCATCGAGTCTCGGTATGTGGATACATCAGTATAACGTCTCTGTCTGTAAGGTTAAATTTATCTTAGTTACATAAGGCAAGGACAGACTTGAAAAGAAGCCCAGCGGAATTATGCTTTCAATGATAATCTCTTTAGCAACAGTGCCCTCTATCAATTCACCTTGGTACTGTCATATATTTACCTGGAATTAACTGGATTAATCAATGAAATGTAGCGTATTCTCATATTTCACAGCATTTCGCTTGCATTTTGATATATTTTGGGTTAAAACCTTATGCAATTAATATTCAAAATCAGTCAGGTATATTCAGTCAGATAATTCTCTGAATCCACCCCATCTTTGAAATTCCTTCACCATTTTAAATTGAAAAAAGATTTTATATACATAAAGTGTTACCTTCTTGTAGCTGATGGTGTATGACATACTTGGAACACGGACAAAAATCTTTTTTATTTTTATGTAAATGGTAACGGATGTAAAGTGGGATTGAATTCCAACCTGTATTTAATTCTAAATATCATCTAAACATCTATCAGTCATGTGTTGACCCTTCCTAATCCTCACCATTCAGAATTTCTTACAATGGCATTAGTTACCAGAATCAAGCCCTTTCAAAGGCAGGGTACTGTAGGAATGTGATATTTATTTGACTTATTTTTTTTTTGCGATCGGTTGCTGCCCCATCCTGGGTTATTCCATGCCTTCTGCTTGTAGCTTCCAGGATAGGTTATGGACCCCAGCAACACTGCACAGGACAAGCGAGTATAGAAGATGCTTGGATGGATGGATGGATGGATGGATTAATTAATTTTTTATTTTCATTGATTTCTACCAACATATATTCCACATAATAAAGGCTGTGGAACCTGACGCTCTACAAACTTTGTTGCAGTTGAAACAGGAATGTTGCTATGGGATTGGCTAATGTTGGCACCTTTTGCGCTTGCAGCCGGTGGACTTTGAGACCAAACCATTCTATACGCTGAAGGTGGAAGCGGCTAACCCGCATGTGGACTCCCGTTTTATTGCCTGGGGGCCTTACAAAGACACGGCCATGGTGAAGGTCACGGTGCTGGATGCTGATGAACCCCCATTCTTCAGCTCAGCCAGCTACACCTTTGAGGTGGAGGAAAACGCCCCTGATGGTACCGTGGTGGGGCAGGTGCACGCGAAGGACACCGACACCGCCAACAACCCCGTCAGGTGCGGAGCCTCACGACAAACAACAGCTCCTTGTTATGGATCCAGATTCAGAAGCTGCTGAAATATTTTCACTTAAACAGAATAACGCGCCATCATTTGCTATATCCAAACCATCGAAAACATTTAGGCTTTGCGTGTTTGCAGAGTAGCAGGCAGGGCGACACGGCGGATAGCGCTATCGCCTCACACCTCTGGGACCCGGGTTCGAGTCTCTGCTATGGCTTCGTGTGTCATCGTGGTGTTTCCTCCACGAAGTCCAGTTACCCCCACCCAGTTTAAAAACATGCTGTGATCAACTGGAGTTGCCAAATTGCCTGTAGAAGTGAAGGAACGATGGGTTGATGCCCCATCCTGGGTTGTTCCCTGCCTGTAATCTCCAGGACTCCCTGCAACCCTTAGTAGGACAAGTGGTTTCAGGAGATTGAAGGATGTTTACAAAGTAGAAGTCACCATGAATACATATTTTTTACTATTTCCACTCCAATAAATAAATCCACCTTTATTCGCCAGATATCAGATTACTCCCTACACAAACCTGGACCAGCTCTTCACAATCAATCCTGAAGATGGCGTCATTAAAACAACGAGACCCCTGGACCGTGAGACCCAACCCTGGCACAATATTTCAGTCAGTGCCTCAGAAATCGGTTAGTTCTTTCTCCAATAATGGAAATTCTTTCATTCCTGCCATAACATTCTATTTTGCCCCCCCCCCCACCCACTCTTTCTGTGGTGTAGCTTAAATAAGGATAAATAAATAATAAAGTGAGTTGGAATTTAGTGTGTATCATCTCTTTATCCAATCAAAACAGAAACAATCTCCAGGATTATACTTGTGTCATTTGTCTGGAATGGCAACTTAATTTTGCCGGTATCTAATTTTGATATTTTTGTTTTTCAAATACTTTCAATTTGTGCCATCTGGAACAAATTGCATGAAATTCAAATCTCAAGTTCCATGCACGAAATGTTCTTTTGAAATATCTACACATGTCAAGTCTCTTGGCAGATTTGTAATGTAATTCTCAAATCTCTCCTGACTTGATGAGTGTCAGATAAAATTTCTGCCTGGGTTACTCTTTTAGAAGCCAAAATTGTTTATTGACCTTGTGTCATGGTTGTGTGCAGGTGGACATCACCAAGATGCCAAAGTCCGCGTCAACATCAAGGTCAAGGACGTGAACGATAATACCCCAGAATTTGCCACCCAGAATGATGTCCTTATGTGTGAAAATTTTCCAGCAGGAAAGGTAAACTTCATTCAGCATCTTTAACTTTAGGTAGATTACATCAGGATGCAGACTGAGGAGAATGACTGTTACAGAACAGATGTAATTTTGGACTTTCAAAGCCAACGTTAAAAGGGAAACAGATGTGTATCTCATGAATAGACTATAAGAGGAAATAAATGAGATCCTGGTTGTCTGAACTGTCGAGGATTGATAAGTCTAGATTTCAACATCCAAAGAAATGTTTTTTTTTTTTAAATTTTTTAAATAATTTTCTTTTTTACAAATGTATAGATAACGGCTTCAAATCTTGAGAAGAGAAGCCCTCCATGTGTGTTTGTGTGGCTGTGGACATCTGTGTGAGTGTCAGTGTATGTATGGTAGCTACATGACCATGCACAGTAACGTCGGTAATAACCTATTTGCGGCCCACACTTCAGCTTATTGAGACAGTCAGCGCCGTGGACAAGGACGAGATGGCCCACCGGCAGTACTTCCGCTTCAACCTCCCGCCGGAAGCTGTCAACAACCACAACTTCTCTCTCAAAGACAACCTCGGTGGGTGTTGAGCCGGCCGCATGCGATAGCAGACCCCCGGTATGCCGGGCATATGGCTGTCATTTCATAACCCCGTGAGTCACATCAAAACACCGTGACTCAAACGTAAACTGCTCCCCCGATTGGTCTTGACACCCTAACTCGAGTGCAGTGACAGATAGTCTCTCCTGATATCCGAAACGCGCTTTTAACGTGCCCTGCTGTGTCTTCTCAACTTCTGACATCTTCCACAGAATTTGCAAAGGACACGCTATTTGTTTGTAAGTCCACATCGGTGATGTCTTTCCTGGGGATCCAACACTACCATGCCTATTAATCCCATTGGTTGTCCCATTTTCCCCAAGCCATGAGAACGTAGGAGCAGAGCCAATCACAAGTCAGGCACTGGCACTGTGTCAGGCCCCTCCTACAGCCTCGAAGAGGTGATGGATGAATCACACATCTTTCTGAGAGTCCTGCCCTTGCCCTACCGACAGTGGCACTTAGGGGAGCGGTACTGGCTCTTTGACACATCAAAGCTGCTCGCATGGTGACAGGTTCAGTGCACCTTGTGGAACTGATCACTGATCAGAGGACAGCACTGAGTGGATGACATGGATAAAGCTTTGCAAGATTCATTCTGCAAGGACGATATCTGTCATTATCGTACCTGATGCTTTTGTCCAAAGCTTACTTTTCTATCAATTTTTTTTAAGCAAATGAAGCTGAAGTGCCTTGCTCAGCTGCATGCAAGGGCTGCTATTGACACAAGATCTTGCTTACAAGACTGTGCCCTTGGCCACTATTCTGTCTGTCTTGTGGGAGTCTCTCTTACGCCTTAATTTATGAAGCAATGTATTGAATTGGGCTTTTATGACTTAACACAAATGAATTGTAGAATCCCCCCACCCGGGTATAGTTTTTTATTTTAAGTAGGGGAGGAGGGGGAGTCCATGCTCTGCTTCATTGTTTTGCTTAACTGTTAAATTGGAGATTTAGAATGGAACCCCTCATGAGATAGAGCAGGCTGGCTAACCTTCCCCCGCCAACTGACATGATATGTCGGTGGTACATAGACGGTCCTGAGCACGTCCTCAGTTACTGGAATGAACCCACACTGACTTTGATGGCCCCCCAATGGTTGCCCGGGGTGATTACGCACTGTCATTGTTAGCGCGTTAATTATGCACCGTTGCCCCTGTTATGTCGTACATCAATCAAAAGTGGGTAGTGTTTTTTTTTTCTACGCATTAGGCCATTTGCAGTTCTTCTGTCAGAGAAAAAAAATGCTAATCTGTGGTACAATTACAAAGCAGAATACGCTAATTGTGGTTTAGGCGAGCGCAGATTATGTCAAATCAAGCTGTTCCAGGCTGGAGTACTGTACCTGCACTGAGAAATGGCTCAGAGTTTTGATATTTCTGATCTTAATGAGAGAGGAAATGGGCACCTTTCAGAGGTGATTTAAAAACCCAACGATGTGAACGAGACAGATTAGGCTTGTCCAGATTTCGTGGATTTATCTGAAGGGAAACCATATTTTCAAACGGATCAATTTTTTTTCCTACAGATTCATCTCCCTCTTGCTCTGTGTTTGTTTGGCCATCTGCTGTATTTGTCCTACAAAGATCTGATGGATCACTGTTGACAGAGTCGCGGGATATATTGCAAAACCCTACATGGCCTATTACATTTTCCAATACATTTTACTATAACCAAGGACCAGCGGCATGTTAAGATGTTCTGCGGCCCCCAGGCCATTTGAGCCGTCACAGGGCCCCTACTATTTTCTTCAGTGGTATAGCTGTCAACTGCGGGGTGGGGGTGTGTTTGTGGATGATAAGATTTATATTATTTTTAGTGGGGGACCGGACGTACGTTCCGGATTAAGTTGAATTTTGGTTCACACACGAAAATGTGGGGCAAATCCTGTCCTGTGCTAGTTCAGTGTGGGACACAGCATTTTATTATTTGGTACAGGACAGGCGACAAATCTACATTTAAAATTTTGTTGAACAAGGTCAGTTGAGTCCCGTTTTAGTGGAGGCCCCTGGGTTTCAGCGCAGGTAAACCTGTGCATTATAGCGGCCCTGCTGAGGACAGTGTAGCACAAACTAATAGGGATTTTAACAGCATTGTCAAGTTAAAAAAAAAAAAAATCTGTGGAATCCTTCATGATGCTGTTATTATCAAGAAATTAGCAGACCTTCAGGCTGCCTCTCAATTATTAAGAAACCGTCATAGACCAAATGTGCCTGATAATAGTGCCCTTCATTACAGCTCTCGTTAGTGCACACATTATGCTATTTTTAGAATGCATATGTTTCTTACGAGTGGCCAACAATTGCATCCTTCACAGTCTATGTCGGTAGGAAGCCCTAATAATTGGTAGTGACAGTGTAGGACAGTCACCCTAGAGGCAAGAGAAAAGCCTTAAGCAGCAGTCTCATAAATGAACTCGCTCTGGCTTTGCTCTGATTGTGACCTTGTTCCGACTGTGAAGGTGTTCTTGGCGCCGTTCCATATCCTCTCGGTAAAGCCAATATACCTACTACAAGAAGGGCTTTGATTACACTTCCAAAAACTGATAAATGGTCACAATATTAAACATGAATTTAATATTGCAACCCCCCCCCCCACACACACACACACATACACACACACACCTCCCTCTTTCACTACATAGTTTATTTGTTTACCTCCTCTGCTTATTGGATAACTAAAACTCACGGGACATAAGTAAACCTCTGCTTTGTTGCCCATATGCCGTTCTATGGAATTGACTCTGTCACAGGCTGTGAAACAGTCTGTTGCATCCACAGTTATTTCCCCACTGCCCTGTAAAGATTTCGTTAGCGATCTAAATCTTTCGCCCTCGTCCCTTTCACCTTTGCAGACAGCACCGCCAGCATCTACGTTATCCGCAAAGGCTTCAGCCGGATGACCCAGGATATCTACTTCCTGCCCATCGAGATCAACGACAACGGCATCCCCCCGATGAGCAGCACCAACACCTTGACCATCCGCGTGTGCAGCTGCGACAGCAAGGACACCATCCTCTCCTGCAATGTGGAGCCCTATGTCCTCCCCGCCGGGCTCAGCACAGGAGCCCTCATCGCCATCCTAGCTTGCATCGTCATCCTACTGGGTAAGCCTGCATGTGGTCAGCTTGATCGGGGATCTGAGAAGGGCCTCAACAGCTTGCGTTCAAGTCTCCATTTGTGGAACAGAATTGCGACACTAGTGATGAATAGTGATGCTATTATCTTTGCACATATCCCCATCTAGCTCTAACTGAGACACAAAGACACATTCACACTAAAAAGCTTGGTGGTCACAGCACAGGCTTGGCCAGCGTGCAGCACTCCTGGAACAATTGGGGTTAAGAGCCTCGCTTAAGGGTCCAATGGCAGCATCCGACCCCGGGATTTGAACCAACAACCTTAAGTCTTAAGCTGCCCGAAATTTGGTAGGATTCTTGGGTAGTGAAACCTGTATATATTCTTTATTAAAGGAGAGTTTGTGTCATAATGTAGGGTTATGTCTGAAAGTACATTTAATCAGCTTAATCCGTAAGTACTTTTATTAAAGTGCCTTTATTGAGTCGCCGAAGGACCAGATTGGTTCAACTAGTATGTAACCTTCAGCTTAATGTACTAGTTTCCTACTTTAAATCAAAGAAAATTGTAAAACCTGTTATATGTTGAGAAATTAAAGCAATTTTGGTTAAGTATGCTGCCCAAGGCTGGAACAACTTATACCACTTATGGACACAGTCTGTTTCTTTAGCCACTGGTGTATATTATTGAAGCTATATGACCCCGTGTCTCCCACGGCAGCTATCGTGGTGCTGTTCGTGGCCCTGCGTAGACAGAAGAAAGAGCCCCTCATCGTCTTTGAGGAGGAAGACATCCGCGAGAACATCATCACGTACGACGATGAGGGCGGCGGCGAGGAAGACACGGAGGCCTTCGACATCGCCACCTTGCAGAACCCCGATGGTGCCAATGGCTACCTGCCACGGAAGGACATCAAACCAGAGCTGCAGTATGCGGTGAGACCTGGATCGCGGCCTGCGGCCAACAGCGTGGATGTGGATGACTTTATCAAGACCCGCATCTCGGATGCAGACAACGACCCCACAGCGCCCCCTTATGACTCCATCCAGATCTATGGGTACGAGGGCCGTGGTTCGGTTGCCGGGTCCCTCAGCTCCCTGGAGTCAGTCACCACAGACTCGGATCTTGACTACGACTACCTCCAAAGCTGGGGGCCACGTTTCAAGAAGTTGGCCGACCTCTACGGCACCAAAGACCCTGTCGATGACAACTCTTAACACCCGGGAGAGTCACGTCGGTACCCCACAGATGACAGTGTAGTGTGTGGAGTAATCCTATGGGTAACCTGCGAGTTCAGCTATTTATGGTAAACTTTCTTTTTTTTTGTTGAAATGTACTTGTAGTATACTACAGTGCATCTTTACACGGGGGATGAATTTGAAACCAAGATGTAGTTTGGAGTAAAAGCCAAAAGACAAAAAAAAAAATTATAAAAGACAAATCTGAGAAGTACTGGTACGTATGAAAAACAAACACGCGACACATTGTGATAATAGATAAAGAATGTTCTTTCATTTTTTTTTTTTTTTGTTGGGCTATTGGGTACTAAACTGGGGCTTCACAGCGGTATGTTGAGATTAAAGAAGATCACCGAAAGACATGGCATTTCCGATACTGTGAAGGAGTTCACTATGGAAAAAATGGTTGCCTTATATTTAAAAAATAATAATAAATCAAACAGAATGCCTGAAAAAAATAACATCCAGCTAAGATTGACCACTTCGGTAGCACGTCCATCTTCCAAATGGAGCACTCTTCCTGACTCTTAGGTGTTCTTTTCCATTAGCAGAACGAAATGGATAAAACAAACGAAGAAACTGTTTTTCAGTGTGTCCTTGAAAATCAGAAGTCCCCACTTCAGCCAGATGAAGTATTAGACACAACGAACAAGCTGTGAGCTCAAAAATCGCCTTAAATAACGGACACTCTTGCAACGCAGTGCATCTTTTGTAACTTGAAAAATATATCCTAAAGCAAGTTAAAATATAACGTACATATAACGTATGTACAGTACAATGTGCAAATGTCTCGAGAATCAAACTTTGCGCCTATTAATTCTTGTAAATCTCTTTTTTATTATAAAATAATTATAATTATTGTTAGTTTTTGGTTGACTTTATTTCTTATTTTCTTTATTTGTGTATGTTATTCTCCCAGGTGAGAAGAAATCAGTCTGTCCTGTCGCAGTGGAAGATGCCTAATTTCTATGTCAATTTTATGGTACCTTTGTACAATTTTAAAAGTTCTTATTTTAGTATACATTCAGATATCAGTATTTCAACATGTAAGAAAATGTTACATCACACATATTTTATGAACATTGTACTGTTGCTTTATTATGTGCTTCAATCTCAGAAGCGGAAAACTTTGAAATAAATGCTCTTTTTATAAAATGATCAATGGTGTTAATAAATCTTTAATAGCATTATTATTATTATTATTATTATTATTATTATATTTTTATTACTGTGCCTGCAGCATTTCCTTTTGCTATAAGCCCAGTGGTTGGTCTGTCAATTGACCGCAGCCAGAAAAGGACCTTATTCACCCTCTCGGAGGGTTTCCATTGCCGGTAAAGGTCGGTGTGCACTTTGGGAAACAATGGGGAGGAGAGAGGGAGGGAATTGAGTTTGGTAACACCTGAATGAGGCTGCCACACAATTTTACCCCGAGAGACCCAGGGTAAACAAAAGGACACAGTCAGTCTTTGGGATGGGACAAATATTTACTAAAAACTAATGAAACGCAAGCGGTGGACAGAAAGGAAGAAGGGTATTACATCATGTTAAGGAGTGGTGTGTGCTCAATAGGCTTACTGTTGTCTAAAGTGTTGTCAATGAATGGCAACACAAATCATTAGTCTGGATATTTATAGGAGGCAGAAGCGAAATTCCTGACCTATTTTTCTGGTGTGAAATGTATTCCAACAGGAGTCAGCATTCCACATCCTCCCCAAACTATGTGAAACAGCTGGCATTGCCTGATTTCCACTGCAGTAAAATGGGACGGCAGGCATTAAGGCAGACACGCTGTGAGCTGTGCCTTTCGGCTTTTTCAATCAACTGACGCATGCACCTATCGTGACACCTCATCAGCTCCACCAATCAGAGCGCTTGGTTTGGCGTGAGCCTTAGGAGGACCCATCCTAGAGGCCCGGCTTTGGCCTACTTGTGTATCAGAGGGCAAAGTTGATGCATTTTGTTGCACTGCCGCTAAGCCGTCGCCTACTGTGTTCAGATCTTGAGAAAAGTCAATAGGGCAGCAATTCTACAATCCGCAGGGATTCTGTGACATGGTGGTTAAGGGAGCACAAAGGCAATTTTTTTTTTATCTTTGTGGCCTTAAATTGCCAGACATTAATCCCCAGCCATATCAGAAGGATTCTGAAGATGTGCTTTAAACAAAAGATCCTACCTCTATCGACACAGAAATGCTTGTGGGAGATTAGTATATATTTCTGAAGCAGTCTGCATTTTTGATTTCGCACTTAACCTTATCTATGCGTCTGTGGCATCAGCAGAGATTTGGAGTCCTGCTGTGTTTTAGTCCTTTGGTTGTCATCATCAATTAAATGCAGAAACAGTACTTAGCAACTTCTGTATAATCACAGTGTTTCTGCTTAGTCTCATTGCACATTAAAACGAGCCCTGAAATCAAGTATTTGTGATTTTGAGCGTGTTGGGGCTTCTGACTTGAGAGTGATCGGATGCGGTTGATATTTATTCCTTTGTATTCATGTTCGCAAGAAAGGAGAAAACAATCGAGGCAGGCTACAAGTAAAGTAAGCGTGAGCTGAGTCTTTCAGCGATTCTTCCGTTCTGAAAATGTTTGGCACAAATCTCAGATGAGCCTGGCTAGAGAATTGAAAAGCTTATAGGCTGGCAGAATGCCGGCCCGGCGTACCAGGCTTTTAAGTGCTGAATTATGAGTTGAAGTATGCGAATTTGTTCAAATATGCATACCCATTTAACCATCAATTTTCGGTAAGCAGTCATTCATCCAGGTTGTGCTGATCTTGAGCCAGACCCAGAAATTATGTAATGGAACAGGAAACACAAAAATTCACTCACATACAGCCACTGGGTAATTTATTTCTGAAGCACCAGCTCAGCTATCGAAAGAGCTTCATGGTCAGAGCGTTCAAAGAGAACTGTGGTTTGACTCCAGAGTCTTGTTTCCTGTTGTTTGGTTTGCATCCACGTGCTTGTAGCATACCGCTAAGAGAATGTGGGTGTCGGAGCGTTTCTGCGTACTCAACTACAATTTCCCGGTTCCTATCAACAGCTCCGTTCACATTTTGCTCATGGTTCTTGTGTGATGGCCCTCAGCTCACCGCGGTCCAGCATAGAACATCAGTAAGGCACTCTGAAGTAAAGATGACACCAGCATCAAAAACTGCATGAAAGAAGCAGAGCAGGAGGCAGGTGAAAAAAAAAGCTTGCCTTAGAAGTGTGAAAAAATATTTCGTAAAATAGAAAATGTCTGTACTGCGCGGGTCATTGTTTTGTTCCTTTGTTCCGCTAATCCGCTGGGGTAACTGGGGGGGGGGGTTGCCTTTTGAATACGAAGCTGTATATTTACCGAATAACAGGAGGGCCAGCTTTACGTTGCATGTGGTCTAAATCAGCAGCAAACATGTGTGATGGTCGTAACTTAAGCAGGCATTCGAAATGCTTCGTGTCTCATTTTAAAGCTCTCTCTCAGCATGGCGTTGTGTAAGCTGCAGGATTTAGGGAAAATCTATGAAAACTCCCTTGCATATATTAAGCATATGATAAATATTTTAGAGGATTTCATTAGTGTGTACACAGGCCGTAATACAAAGATTAGCATACTTACTATGTCCCGGTATCTTGTTGCTTGTGAAAGTAAATGAATATAGACTTGGATATTTAAAATAAACAGGGAATCATAAGTTCCTGCTTTTCCTTTTTCTCCCATTTATTTCTTCTTACTCTTTCCAATTAAACTCCAGATATTATAAAAGGGATTGTTTCCGCACGCCGCAGAGTCCGGCATCAGGGGTTTGTAGCCTGTGGTGATTAGTGTCACCTGTCCCTCAGTGAACCGGTGTGCTGTTATTAGATTCACCCCGAGAAACCAGGACCCCAACCTACCCAGAGGGATCAGCGCCAACAGCTACACCATGCACTTGTTTAGTCACTGAAATACTAGAGTTTTGACATTTTTTTTTCCATCTACTAAAATTTCTTGCTTTTATTGTTTCATGGGGGGAACCTCTGGAGACCAGGTTGCGAGTCTCTACCTTGGCTCCATGTGTGTGGAGTTTGCATGTTCTCTACATGTCATCGTGGGGTTTCCTCCGGGTACTCCGGTATCCCCCCCACAGATAAAAAAGCATGCTAAAGTGAATTAGAGTTACCAAGTTGTCCATAGGTGTCGATGTTTGTGTACAGTATATGCCCCGTGATGGGTTAGCGCCCCATCCTGCGTTATTCCCTGCCTTGCGCCCGTTCGTTCCTGAATAGGGTCCTAACCCCAAGAACCTGCATAGGACAAGCATGGATGAATGGATGGATGGATTCTGTTCATGTATTGCCCATCATTATCCCAAATTTTCAGAAAAAAAAGAGAAACAAACATATCCTTAGCTTTGCATGGCAAACCCTGATTCTTTCACGGAAGTATTGGTCCTCAGACTAAACTGGGCATGGATAATATGGAAAAAGACTAATTAAGTATAATTCATATACTAATTATAATTCTAAACTATTTTTGGCATATAGAATTTTGTATTCCAGATGTATTTGTCCTTGTATATAAAAAATGTTCTTTTGTTTTTTTTGATTAAAAATACCAAAATAATTGGTGTATATAGCTAAAATGCCAAATTTCACAGATCCCGATTAAATAAATAACTAAAAAGTAATATGTGTGAAATACAAAGTGCTGAGATCAAAAATGTAGAGACTTGAATGACACATTCTGTAGACCGTGTAATATTCCATTCTATCGGGGACCTTTGCTGTCAGCCGTGATATTGCATTAATGTGATTCCGTGGCAGGGAAACGCTACGCATTCTCGCCCTATTCCTCTCTAACCACTGTCTCAAGCAGCTGCAGGACTCAACATGGATTCATACACGTGTCAAGTGTTGCCAACCCAGAGTTAATATTATTGCTATTACCATGGCTAAGGAGTGTTTTTTTTTCTTTTTTAAAATCAAAATGGTCTTACACAGCTGCTAGAATAATATTTTACCCATTTACACAGCTGACTTCTACAACAACTGCTACGCTTCATTCCTTGATAGTCAGTACTGATGCAGCACCCAGGAATCTCTTCTTTCTCAGGTCTTTTACATTAGGACCTCACTCTTTGATCCTTGATTATTAGAGTCTCGGAATGCCCTAGTGGACACTGCAGGCACTGCAGCCTTGCACGTCCTGTCTCCACACAATTTATGCTCGGCGCCTGATGGTTGGAGGGGGACGCAATGCACTTCGCTACATTCTCGGAGGTGCTGCTTATCCTTCTTATCCATGTCAAACTCATCCTCAGGATGCACGAATCAATAGTTCCTTTGAGAGACCAGTAGCACAAACTATACTGTGGCTGGGAAAGGTACAGTGAGTTTCTGCCTCGGAGAACCTCAAGGGATAGTTCCTGAATGACAGGCTCATTTGTTACATTCGGCTGCTGTTCCTACCCTTTTCCGTGCATATTTACATATTTCTATGTGTTTCTCATTTCATCTGGTCCACTTTGAAAGACTTTGTAAATAAGGGTGTAACTGCTGTCCTCTCGTAATGAGAGGATAACTCCCGCAGTGACAGCTCACCGCATAATCTCGCAGCGTTTTGATTACAATGTTTGCAGGGCTCCTGCGGTGCAGGGAAAATGAGAACAAACTTCAATCAGCAGCTAAGGGGCAGGGGTCTCCACCTTCTCAGTGTATTTTCCTTTGCTAAGCAGAGTGGGTGGACAGTTCAGGTGTAGAGCGACGCTATTGCTGATGATGAAAATGACCATCCACGGTCCACCTTGTGGGCTATATTGTTTGAATTCTTAGGCCTACTTTCTCACACTGAGCACTTATCTCACTGTCTTCCCATTAACCAGCTGCAAATTTTCCTTTTATAAATCATACAGCAGGAGCTTGACAGCAATATGAAATGAAGGCATGCATGGCTCCTGTTACCTATTGTTTGTAACTAGAGTGCTAATTGCTTGTTATCATCAAATAACCCCAAGCTTTAAAACAACACAAACTGTCCTCTGTGATGTTCTTTTTTAAATGTGACACATCCTGTCATTAATGTTGTGTTTTTGATGTACGAAATGAGAGCAAATAGGCTCGTTCAATTTCTTTCCATGAATTTACACTATTTTCTCAGTCTATGCAATATTTTCAAAAGAATGACTCATTATTTTTCAT